TTGAAGAGGAATATCAAGGTTGAAGCTAAGTTTTTCATTAATTATAAACAATACAGACGTCTCTGTTGTCTTTATTTACCTGCTTGCATCCAACAACTGCAGCAAGTCAGTAAAAATAATCTGTACATTTTGAAAACTTGCTATTGCCCTGAAAAATAAAACAAAAAAAATTCTCTCACATAACGCAAAGTAGTAATTAGAATCAGTAATTAAAATCCTCAGAGGAGGAAATGAGCTTTTACTTTGTCAACAGTGTAATGTGTATGTCGACACTTATAAACTGATTAGGGAACTTAAACTGACATTTTCATTTAAATCAATAGTGAGACATCACATTTTTCCTCCTCCCTATACAGGAAAATATAAATTACTCAAGTAAGGAAGTAATTTTTTGAAAATTGGTTTGTTCATATATATAGCATTTCCCCTTGAAATTTGGACTAAGCAAAAAACCCTTGACAATTTAGGAAAACCTCGAGTGCAGTTGAAGGATATGACATGTGATAATAGTACTTGACTGGAAAAGACAAAATAAATGTCCATGATAAATCACCCTCTACAGGACTGGATAAAATCCATGTAGATGGGACGTACATATCTATTGTGCTCTGTGTTTATGTGAGGAATAAAACAGAATGTTGGCCTCCCTTTCTGAAGTAGAAAACCTGAGGACATCAGTAATACCTAATTTACAATCCAGATTGTCTAAAGTCCAAACAGGGATCAAAGATTTTCAGGCTGGGATCTCTAAGGTGCAGACAGAAATCAAAGAAACTGCACAGAAAAAGATCACAGAGATTCTAGAAAAACTTGACAAAGATGAACAAATACTGAAAGACATTGAAAAATCTGAAATGGATTCCGCTCATGCTTTACAGAATGAGATCTTACAGCATTTGGAAACTGCTCAAAGTTTAGTTAATAGTGAAGACAAAATGTCAGCAGAAGGCACCAATATCGATACTGAAGTACAACAGAAAATAGACAATTTAAAGAGTTTTCAGAATTCCATTCGTTCCAGTGAATCTATCTGCTGGTCAGAGGACAAAGAGTCAAGCATTAAAAGAGACCTTGGGATACTAGATAAACCTTTTCTCCAGGCTCAAGTGTCCATACCGCCACAGCCCATACCACAGCCAACTCTTGGGGATGTGGCAGTTCTCAAAAAACTACAGATCAGTTCATCCACCAACATGGATATCACTCAGGGTCAGGATGGGGTCATCTGGATCTCCATGAATAAATTCCAGGTGATACAGATAAATGAAGAAGGAGAAATCGGGGCCCAGTATTTCACCAGGACTGTCAATGACTGGATGGAAATCAACGAGATGCAGGGCCTAGTGATCAACAGAGCTGGACATTTACTGACCACAGATAAAAGCAGGAGAACTGTAAGTCAGTTCTCTCCACAGAAGAAAACTAACATGGATCTTATTCGATGTGGGGACTGGTCTCCAACAGGGGGAATTTGTTGTTCCTCTGACCATAAAATCTTTGTCAGCCTCTTGAACAACAAAAGAGGAAAAATCTGTGTTTACACTTCTTCTGGAGAACTGGAAAACAGCATAGAAAAAAGTTCTACTGGAAAACCTATATTTTCATACCCATGGTATATTGCAGTTAATGAAATTAAAAACATTTGTGTATCAGACAAAGCAAAAAAGTCTGTCCTAGTTGTCAGTCGGACTGGATTAGTTCAAGCAACATATCGTCCTACAAAAGGTACATTTGTTCCATATGGGATTGCCACCGACAAATTCAACCACATCCTAGTCGCAGATAGTGACAATAGTAAAATTCACATTCTGTCTGAGGCATGTGAAGTGCAGCTTCTCATTCAATGTAAGGATCTAGGCTTGTCCAAGCCAAGGTCATTGTGTGTGAAAAGTGAGGGGGAACTGTGGGTGGGGAATGGGGAAAAAGGGATCATTCAGCTACTACAGTATATTCAGTGATCAAAATAAATTATCATGAATAGGTTGCTGTTTAAGTGCATTAAATTTGAAAAAAAAAGAGCAGCAAATACTTTTTCTGGTTTTTTTTTTTTTTAAAGATTTCATTCCCTTATTGTTTCATGGCATTATCCTCTGTCAGTTCATTCATTTTCATTCAGTTTCAAGAAAAAAAAAGTCTTACTGGATCTGTTTTCAAATTTTGAATATAAAACTAGATCCTCAAATATACAGATTCTAAAAAAATACTTTCAATTTATATCCTTCATTAAGGTGTCATACAACAGGGTCTTCCAACTTCTATGGTTGTAAAGCACCGTTATAGACACTCAGAAGCATCACCAGCACTACACTTTGACATTACCTGTTTGAATTTAAGGCGGCTCGTAGTGGATCGACATAAACTTTCTTCACTGCCTGAAGAGTTCTGTTGTACTCCACCTCGCTACTAAGTATCTCCATGGCAATGGGCGTTCTCTTTTCTGGATGGTCATGGAATTGCTTAGCACTCTGAAAAATCAAACAAATCTTCAATGCACCAGAAATATGATAACAAAACAAGAGGCCCATGGGCCACATGCTCACCTGAGCACTAAGGGTAGGAAAAAGTAGAAAATGGCTTTTTACTGTAAAGTTTAAATCCAAAAGTAGTCCCATGACCAATCATGGATTTGCTATTTTTTAGAAAATGATTTTTAAAGAATTTTCCTATATATATCTTTAAAAACTTTGGTCGGCCATTTTGGCCACGCCCTACCCCTGGGGGTCATGATTTGAACAAACTTGAATCTACACTACCTGAGCATGCTTCTATATAAATATGATGAATTATGGCTTTGTCATTCTTGAGAAGAAGATGTTTAAAGAATTTTCCTATATATTTCTATGTAAAACTTTGGATGGCCATTTTGGCCCCACCCTACCCCCGGGGGGTCATGATTTGAACAAACTTGAATCTACAATACCTGAACATGATTACATATAAATATGATAAATTATGGCTTTGTCATTCTTGTGAAGAAGATTTTTAAGAATTTTCCTATATATTTCTATGTAAAACTTTGGTCGGCCATTTTGGCCCCGCCCTACCCCGGGGGGTCATGATTTGAACAAATTTGAAACTACACTACCTGAGCATGCTTCCATATATATATATATGATGAATTATGGCTTTGTCATTCTTGAGAAGAAGATTTTCAAAGAATTTTCTTATATATTTCTATGTAAAAATTTGGTCGGCCATTTTGGCCCCGCCCTACCCCAGGGGGTCATGATTTGAACAAACTTGAATCTACACTACCTGAACATGCTTCCATATAAATATGATGAATTGTGGCTTTGTCATTCTTGGGAAGAAGATTTTTAAAGAATTTTCCTATATATTTCTACGTAAAAGTTTGGTCGGCCATTTTGGCCACGCCCTACCCCGGGGGGTAATGATTTGAACAAACTTGAATCTACACTACCTGAACATGCTTCCATATAAATATGATGAATTATGGCTTTGTCATTCTTGACAAGAAGATTTTTTAAAGAAATTTCCTATATATTTCTATGTAAAAGTTTGGTCGGCCATTTTGGCCACGCCCTACCCCAGGGGGTCATGATTTGAACAAACTTGAATCTACACTACCTGAACATGCTTCCATATAAATATGATGAATTATGGCTTTGTCATTCTTGACAAGAAGATTTTTAAAGAAATTTCCTATATATTTCTATGTAAAACTTTGGTCGGCCATTTTGGCCCCGCCCTACCCCCGGGGGTCATGATTTGAAGAAATTTGAATCTACACTACCTGAGGATGTTTCCCCATAAGTTTCATCTTTCCTGGCACAGTGGTTCTTGAGAAGAAGACTTTTAAAATATGCCACTAAATTTTCATTAATTCCCAATTATCTCCCCTTGAATGAGGGCGTGGCCCCTCATTTGAACAAACTTGAATCTCCTTCACCCAATGATACTTTGTGGCAAGTTTGGTTGAAATTGGCCCAGCGGTTCTTGAGAAGAAGTCGAAAATGTGAAAAGTTTACGACGACGACGACAGACAATGGACAAATTTTGATCAGAAAAGCTCACTTGAGCCTTCGGCTCAGGTGAGCTGAAAACAAAGCACTCCTAAAATAATTCATATCTCCTGTAAAAGTTGACTATAGTCCGGGTCTAAAAATGAAAGTTTTTAAATAGTTGATTTTTAGTTAAATTTTCTACAAATAAAGTTTACTTCCCAGTGCTCCCAGTGCTTATTTACAATATTTAAAAAATATCCTTCAAACTTCCATATTTTCAATACCACTAGATGCCCATTTTACCAGTTTAATACCACTAGATGCCGATTTTACCAGTCGTTCATATTTGCCAGTGAGCCTCATGGAGCCGAACGTGACTCGTAAATTGTCCGCCTGTTGAACGAGCCGCTGATTTTTCTGTTGTCTTTGACGTCGGTTTTCTTCTTTTTCACTCTGTTCCATTTGTGCTTTCTCTGGCATGTCTGCTGGGGGTCTGACAGTCTCTGTAAATAAAACATAAGTTATCATATTCATGTGTTTAATAAAGATAACAAATATTAATGTTAAATTATGCAAGAAAAATGGACTTGAATTTTATTACAATCAAGCATGAAAATTAAAATCTGATGACCCAGAACTGTTCTTAAGATATTTGTTCACAGTTAAAGACAGATCATACACACTTTTTCTTTCAAAATCATGAAAATAACAAATGAGGTCATGTTTTACTGCATACTGGATATCAATTTTTCATGTAGTCATACAAAGCTTACAATTTCTTAATAATTTGTGAATTTGATACATGTACATGTATTTGCATTATTCACAACCAATACAGGTCCTAAAATACAGACATGTACCAATACCCACATTTAAATGTATCATATATCCTTCATATAGTTCAAGATATATGTAAATAAAAAATACATGTAAAACATTATAATGAGGCCACACCAATTTGTAACATAGTTCTTCGGATTTTCAAAAATAAAAAGAGAGGCGAGCGAGCGAAAATATTTTATTAATATTATTTTTTTAATTTCAATTTTCAAAATTATGAGGCGAGCGAATATAATTAATATAAGTGGCAAAAATTTCTAAGTTCTTCTATAGTACACAGGGGTGTGCAATTGAGGAAAAAATCAAGTACTTTCCCACAGGCTAGTGGCAGCTTTCAAGTTAATAGCCCCTAGTAAAAAGTTACTAACCCAAACAGAGGGGCAAAAATTAAAATAAATACTTATCTGGAGAAGAAATTAATTGCTGAAAAAGTCAGGGTACTGGGGTCATTCTTTTTTAAATTAAAGTTAAAAGTTCTCACTATCAATTACATATTAATGATGCATAAATTATTATGAAAAAAATTAAATTAATTTAAATGAATTATCTTCCCTTTTTCTTGATCATTGCACTAGATCATTTAGAATAAAATCAAATTCATTTTGTTTTCATCTTAAATCATTAAATACACTGGAAATATATTTTATGTGAGTCACAAAACACTTATCTTTCAGTTCATTGGAAAATCGTAAATAATTTAATGAGATATCTGCATGTATTTACCATAAATTGAGAAATAGAGGAAATTCGGATTAGGAAAAAACGATCGTTTTTGGAAGTAATTAAGTCAGATAGAAGTACAAAACAGATAAGATTATGGAGATTTATTGGCAATAGGAGCATGTTGTCTGGAAAATTTTAACTGGTTGGGAATTTTATAACAAACACAAGTGAAAATACCGATTGCTCTTGTCATTGCTGCATTGCTTGTGTAGTTATGTTTTTTACTAGCCCGACGGGCTACCTCCTTGCAGAAAACAACTAGCCCGATCCCTGGTTGTTTGGATATGCTAAATGCTCACCCCTGGTACATACAAACAGTTACACGGGCATCTTTCAAAACTTTACAGACTGCTACAAAGTACAAACAAACACTAAATCCCGCGCTTCTGTCATACAAATTTCCAAGTCTTTTCTGCGTTTTGTGTAAAAAGTCGAGAAAAAAATTTGTATTCAGATATTTTTGGACGCGCGCGCGAAATTTTTTTTTAATATTATAATTTGGATTTGTTAAAAATAGAAGCGGCGAATCCGACGAACTATATTAGAAATTGGTATGGCCTGATACACATTTAATTCCAAAATGGAGGGGACAGTAGTATTGGTTTTCTCCAGTATGCATATAAAACAGACAAGCAATTTAGTATGCAAGAAAAGCATAGAAAACAATATATTTGCTTTTTATCTGAATATAGTGAAAGGTGATAAAAGTAAAAGTTCCTTGATAGCTACTACATCAGTGCTTATAAGACTTATGTCAGTGTTTATATCTAACAAGCACATTTAAAAGGAAAAGTAATCTTTCACTGAAAAAAAGAAAGAAGAAGGGAGTCCCAACCCTTTTAAGATATGTTAAATGCAGTCCTATTTTCACCTTTAAATCAAGCAAAACTCTACAGAACTGAAAAGCAACTAAAATGTACTATCAAATGCTGAATACTGAGGAGAGTGAGTATAAAAGGATAAGAGTATAATCAGATTACTAAAGGTTTAGTGATGCTTTACCACTCAGACTCCTGTCTTTGACAATATCATCGTTTTCCTCATCCAACTGATGTGAAGAGTCGTCTAGTGGGGGTGGGTCTACAGTGTTAGGACAAATAGTTATATTATCAAGACATGTTAACGGCAATACTTAGAACACTCATTACTTGATAAGCTGCTTCACACAAGTATATAATATTTATTTAGATGAATTATGAAATACTGGCTTTTTATTTGCAGTTTGGTCTAATTCATAAGAATTCAATTGTGACATCTTCCGGAACTTTAAGACCACTTGCATTTGTGTTCCTATAAACTTGCCTCTTAAACCTTAAAATTTGGATCATCTAATGGAGAACTATAACTATGTTCTAAATATTTAATTAATAGTAAACACCTAAGCATAATATCACAAGTACACATGCTAGAATAAATGTAGTCATACTTTTTTTCCTATAGAATGATACACTGTAAACAAACATTTATTTGTAAAAAGAATTATTTGATATTCATCAATCTAAAAGGAGACAATCTTTATGACTTCACATAGATTAGATACCATTTATAATAAATGCTTTGATTAAACACTTGTGGAAATCTGCAAGGAATCCCTATGAAATTTACAGATATTTCCTGCATGCAAATAAAAGTTGGTTTACAGTACTAAATAATCTACTTCTGATTAAAATTGTAATCACAGGAAATAATGTATCTGCCTGAATAAACAGAATATGCTAAAATATTAGCAATGAAAAATAAAATGTGTTCACTCAGTTATTTACTTCTTACATTAACATAATATAGAACATTTACTATAATTCTTTTTAAACTTGCATACAGATCATATTCTGACAAGACAATCTTGAGTTAGAAGAGTAACAAATATCTATATAGTAAGCATGAAATATACAGCATATTAATTATATGTATACTGAATATATAGACTGAATAAGCATGAAATACATAATCAAGGAGGCATTGTAATGGTGTTGTTCTGGAAATTACCAAACATAGGGTAAGATAGCATATATCCTGTTTAATATAGGTTCCTTTTTCAACTCTAATCTCTTTAACATTTTAAAGAAGCAAATAGAAATCATTCACATAAATATCTATATCTTCTGAAGCCAATAGTAAGGAGGATTAAGTTCTTTGCTGCAAGGCTACTTTTAAGCTTATCTATAAATATATATACCGGGGTAGATGCATGGAATTTTTTCCTAAATTTCATTCATATTTTATTTTACTAGGTTAGGAAAGAGAAAAAGACAAAACTACAGCTTTTAAGTTTATCAACTTTTCCTCTGCTACTCTTTGGACATTTGATCAATACCATAACTTCAAACTTCTCTTCTAAGCTTTCAAGCCCTAGATAAAGCAGGGGGTGAGATGGAGCCCTAGACGGAGTGGGATGGTTATAAAGGAAGTAGGGATTTTAGGATGTAAAACCTTGTCAAGATTTAAATACTATCTGAAATATGAAGTATATGGTAAGAGTCCTGAAAATTTCCCCCATGAATGCATTTCTTAAAGCCTTAATAAGATTGATATACAGTGATTGGGAAGGCCAAAATGGTCGATGGGACTATGGCGCAACTGTCAACATTTTTGGTGGGCCATTTCGAAAATGAATGGGCCATCAATATAATCTGAAGGGCCATTTTAAGAAATAACAAAGTGACAAACAGATATGAAATACATGAGAAAACACGTTTTAATTAACCGAATCCGATTTTTAACACATGAAATGCAACAAATTTAAAGGAACTTGCTTAGAATATAACTGACCCGTATTTTGTGTTAAAATTACGACATTTTTGGAAAGGGAACAGCCCTACCATACAAATGAATGAAGTATTGTACCTCATGTAAGTGCTTCGTTTAACCGGAAGTACTTTTTGACAGGTTTCAACCAATGAGATTTGTTGTTTTAATTGACTGCATTTAAAACGAAAGTAAAACAAGAAAGAAAGTCATATGCAAAATATTTTCTAATATCGCTAAAAAAATGAATGCGCACCTTGGCGCCATGATTGATTGGTTTAATGCGCCATTTTTCACTTCAATGCGTCTATGGCGCGTGGCGCAAGCCCTTCCCAATCACTGGATATATACCAGGGATGGGGTAATTGAAAAAAGTAATTGTAATTGGCTGTAATTAATTACATTTTTTGAAGTAGTTGCAAGTAATTTGTAATTGAACATTTTTTCAATTACATGTAATTGTAATTTAATTAATTACACTGAATAAATACCATGTAATTTCAATTACTTTTTCAATTACATTCAATTACTTTATACATGTATGATACACATGTACACGTATTCAAATGATATACTGTCACCACTACCTCCCCATTTTACTGTGTTTTTATTGCAAAACATATCCTCAATCCTTCAATTTTACAGATTGAAGTTAATCTAGTTTCTTTCTATTTATTATATTTTTTTTTTCATGTTTATCTGAATTTTGCACCACCCTTCTTAGGTCTATTCAGCTATGAAATACACATTTATTATATCTTAATCTTAAGTTTGTTGCTTGGTCAATGCAGAATATGTGTGTCAAGAAAAAAGAAAAGGAATGTGTGTCATTAATTAAGTTCTCTCTTGTTGATAAGAGATAATTGTCCTCCAGATCACAGGTGTAAATTGCAATCAAAACAAATCAACTCCTCTCAAGAGGTATTCATTCCATGATTAATAAGACAAAGCCAATGCAGGGGGATAATTATTTCAATTTCAAATGCTTTGCTAGTTTGAGAAAAGAAACACCTTCAATTTGATAATTATTTTAATGTCTAAACAGAACTTTATGAATGAATTTTGTATCTGAAAAAGTTTTGTTCTGTACAAATATTATTTATGAAGTAAAAATGTTCTGCATAAATAGCAATATAAGGAGTTTTAGATTTACTTCAAAAGAAATATTTAATTTGAGGGGTTACAGTTGTGACATATTACACTCTATTGAAATATCCCCTGTTTAATCAAATATCATACCACATGCAGTTTGTGTACATGTAGGGTTTATGTGGAGAAAACTGCATCAAACTGATCTCAAGTAGTTCTTTACTGTTTTGTTAATAAAAGTTAAAATTTAAATCACAAATATACAAAATGGCTCTACCACATTATTTCTTGTATTTTTGTGCAGTCGAGATCTGCTTTATGAATGATCCCTCTTCTGTATATTCATTGACAAGGACTATAGGATTTTCCAAAAAATTTGAAATGTAATTTGTAATTTAATTAATTACTTTTGTAAAGTAATTGTAATTTAATTAATTACATGTCTTAGAAAGCCTGTAATTTAATTGTAATTTAATTGAAGAAAAAGTCAAAGTAATTGTAATTTAATTAATTACTTTTTAAAGTAATTGACCCCATCCCTGATATATACAGGATACTAAAGCAATGTAATTCTATATGAATATAAAGTATATATAAAACTCTTGACATCTAGTAATTGCTGCTGATCATGCAAAGCTATATGTAGATAATGATATACATGTAGGGGTCACATCAAAAGCTTTTTCATTTAAAACAGGTTATTATGATACATCTGATAATAATTAAATTCAACAACTTTGATATAAATTTATAAAACTGAAGTAGACTGCAGTTCAGACTTTTGATATGACCCCTGATGGACAATGACCTATTTACCAGAACTATCATGATCATGGTGTTGTGTGTAGTAATTTTCTATTTCTCGATCCTCTGGTTCAATGTCTGCATCAAGCAAGCAGAGAGAAAGTAAAATGACACAAAGCTGCATGAAATGACACTCACTTTTGATGTTATTTATAATATTAAAGAAACAAATTTGTCATGTAGTGTGAATTTTATGTTGTCATTAAATGATTTTTTTTTTACTTTATAAAATAATTCTTATGAAAGATCTACTTGTACTTCATCTATTTTCAACATGCAAATGGATGACAAACTTCTAAAAACAATGCTTCAAACTAATCTATGCACAATGCATAATACAAGTTCTATCATGATTTTTTATCACAGCTTATAAAAATGTTTTTAAAAAAGGATGATAGGCTTATAGGAAAAATAAAGCATGCACTGTTTAACTTGTAAGCATTACAAGGAAAAAGATCCCCCCCCCCATTTCCAATGTAGGATGTTAATTTTAGAAACTAATTGTAATGAAGGAAAGCTATATTATATTTTTTTCATTTTTTTTGTCACATATATGCATTTGTCTTTCTTCACTTTAAATGAATTTCTCCATAAACACAGTATCAGAAACCCAATCAAACTTCACCCCTTCAATTCCCTACTAGTAAATTCTAATGATGACTCATTTTGTATTTTATACATGACCTATGTTTATTATAGATAAAATATGTTACTTCACAAAGAATGAACATAACTGCACTGAAAGTATTACATTTAAAGGAATAAAAACTTTATTTCTCATGCTTTTACTACTTTTTCTTCATGTTAAAATTTGAGTGTGATAATTTTTTTACCTCCCCAGTCGGCCTTGACCTCTTCCTCCTGACCCTCAGTTTGACCGTGACCATTGATCCTGGTAACCTCTTCATCTTCATCCTCATAACGCTCAGCTGGTACAAGGGACTAAGACAAATTTAAAAAGACATTATTTTTATTATCCAACATCCATTGTGTTAGCTACCTTTGAGTCATAATTCAATTTCACAATTTTTCTCTATGTTGGGTCATTTTCATACTAACAATTATGATATAGCTGTTCAAAGTTCATGATTACTTTTTTTCACTTATAACAGAATAAGCAAATTCTGTTTCCCCTCTTTTAGGGTCTTATAAGTACATTTACAATTATCTTGTCACATGTAATGCACATGCATTAAATTAAAGCCATATGTTCTCACTCAAAGGTCAAAGTGTAATTTATCTTTAGTACACTGCAATGATCTCGTAAAAGGAAATATATGTGAAACAAAAAAAGTCCTACCTTTTCTCATTCAAAAGTTTTGACAAAAGGTAACTTTTCTTTTAAGCAAACTTACAGATTATTTAGATTTAACATCAGTATCCCTGCACTTTTGCAAAAGCAGGGAACAATGAGACTAACTATTTAAATCAATTTACCTTTTCTAATGAGCTAGTGAAGGCGAGATCATCAACACCAGCTTTCTCCAGCAGGTACTGTCCTAGAAACTCCAAGGAGTTCACCTGTAATTCCAACATAATATACACTTAATATTTTTATTAATCAACATTTATTCAAGTGCAAAAAGATTCAAAAATTTCTAAACAATCTTTAAACTGTGATTATTAATGGCCATGAACCATTTGATTTATTTTGTATTTGAGGAGAAAAGTTCAAATGTTGTGAAAATTTATTGTAGCAGACTGATTTCACACTCAAGAATCACAAATAAGAAATGCAAATGACATACTTGCCAACCTCCAGCATGTCAAAATCTGGCCATGACCAGATTTGGAAAGTAAAAAATCTGGTCATAACGCGTAACGACATTCACGACATATTTGCCATGATTAAATTTTATACAAAATTATATATACACAAAGTATTTGTGTATTGAGAAGTCTTTTATTGAAAAAGGCTTTAATTTACAATGACAAAAAATTCATACATAATTTGATTAAATTTACATGTTAAAAAAAAGAGAATTGAAGGTTTCATATTTCAGTATTGACCTGAAGTAAGTGTGCATTTTTATAAAAAGCCTTTTCAGTTTCTGCTAAATTTGAAAGTATATCAATTTTAGTTTTGAAGTTATTTTTCCTCTCTCTTAATTAATTAACTACTGCAATATGTATATATTAAATGTGAAGTTAGGCCTACACTGTCTTTGATCACTTTATTTTATCTAGAATGAAAGTTTTTTTTTCCAAGATTTCTTGATACGTACATAAATATTGTTTCTCTTTTTCTTGGTTCAATCAGAGACATGTGTTTGGTTCAACTTCTCCTGCTGGCCCTGATAACGATCTAGTTCTATCGGAAGCCATTTTAATTGACTTCAAACATTGATTTGTCAAAACAACACCCAGTTAATTGTTTACATCTGCACTGATAATTAATCCATCGGCATTGTTTACGTAGATCTAAGCT